GGGCTCTGGGGGATCAGAGGGAATAAAAGGGTGGGGGTCAGCAGTCTCAGAAGATGGGGGGTTGGGAAAGTAGGGGTCAGCTTTGCTCCCTGGCCTGGGAGGGGCCGAGGCACGTGGGGAACAGGAAGGAGTCAGGAGTCCCAGGCATAGAGAGTGTGGCTAGGCTGCAGGACAAGCGCCATGGACCAGGGCCAGGGGAGCCTCTCTGGCAAGCCTCCAGCCTGGCACGTGTGAGTGAGTGTGTGTGCGGGCAGGCACGCGTGCAGCAGCTGTGCACATCCTGGACTGTGGGAGCTTTCTCTCCCCCTGCCCCTGTCCACCCCTGTCCGCCCCAAGGGCCCAAGACTCTGGGAACCTTGTGGCAAGGGCTTCTTCTCTTGGGACCACAGGCACAGGCCAGGGGTCCAGAAGCTTAGGCCTAAGCTATGCATGTTGCCTCCTCAGGATGAGGCCCCAGGGCAGCTACTCCATTAAGCCTTCTTGTCCTGCCAGGTCCAAACAACTTTAGAGTTTGGAACAGCCCACGAGGTGTGTGGCCTCGTGAGCTTAAGTATAAGCTCTTAGCCACCGATCCTCAGCCCAGCCATCCCCCACCCCGCTGCCTGGCCCCTGACCTGTGCCCACGTCTGTCGCCTGTGCCCACGTCTGTCGCCTCCTGCAGGCCCCGACCTTGTCCACTGCATCTGCCTTAATCTCACCTCTTCGGTCTTTCTCTGTGTGTCTCCCTCACCTCTCTGTAAGTTTTTGTCCCCCATCTCTCAGTCTGTGAGCCTCTGACTCGAGCCTCTGACTCTCTGGGCCTCAGGAAAGTCCAGCCAGAGGGGTAGCAGATCCAGAGAGGGGTACAGGCCAGCGTGAGATGAGGAGCTGCACAGGGACAGAGTAGGGCAAAGCACTGGCCCCCAGAGACGCCGAGAGTGGATGTTAGTGATCCTGGGGCACTGAGATCCTTGGGGCTCTTTCCAAGGAGCTACAACAAGAAGTGGGAAGAAGGTGAGGGGAGGCCCACATCCCTGAAAGGCTAACCCAGGAGGGTAAGAGGGTAAAAGCCCAGCTGAACATGTGCATTGGGAAGAGGTGGGAAACATCTCCCAGGGTTTGTTAAAACACTGCCCCAAGCAGGCACACAGGGGCAGGCCCCCACCCACCCGTGCCCACACATGGCCAGGGTCACAGGATGCTTCCTCAAGGTCACACATACCCTCAATCAAGGATAATGTTGCTTGCAAAACAGTAGCTAGGAGCTCACTGAGCCCCAAGCCAGGCCCTCTAAACCTCAGTCTCTTTCAGGGCTCCCCCAGGTGGGTATGCACAAACGGGCACCCCAAGCCTGGGCTCACCCTCCACAGCATGACACAGCTGCCTGGCCTCTCCCTTGGTCTCTGGCCCTGCTGCGGGGGTGGGGGGAGAGCCAGCCGCAGAGAGAAGAGCCAGGAGTGAGAGAAACCCACGCGGGGCAGAAAGAAACGTCCAGAAAGACAGAAGAGAGAAGACGAGGCTGAGACAGGAGGTGAGGGCACAGACACAGTCAAAGGACAGGGAGAGAAAGAGAAAGACAAAGAGAAGAAAGGCTTGAAGACCGAGCGGCGGCGAGAGCCGCCAGCCAGGAGAGCCAGGGGACGCCGCGGGCGGGCGGGAGGGGGCGCCCGGGCGCACGGAGCAGGGAAGGCGCGGGCGGCGGCTGAGGATGGAAAAGCTCATTTTGCTGGTAATTTACTCTCCTGCTTTTGGGCCGCTCCGCCTGCCGCTGCCGCCCGCCCGGGCTGCCTGTTCCAATATTAGATATAAACAAGTAAACTGTGTAATGGATCACATTAAGCAGGCCTTGCGTCTTGAGGCAGGATTTAATTTGCATGGCAGATTAGCTTGTCTTCCCAGCAAGGCACCCCGGGGCACCCCGAGCTGTAATAGGATCCCGCCTCTTAGAGCCCATTAAGGCAATTGAGAGCGCCTCCTAATCTCCCTCCCCGCCCTGCACCAGCATCCCCTCCTGCTGGACTGGGGAGGGGCTTGTCATGGCCGGACCCCCAGCTTCCAAGCCCCATCTCAGGCTCCATCTCGCCCTGCAAGTGGTGACCCCGAATCTCACGAGTTGCCGGCTTTCCATCTCTTTAACTCAGCACCCAACCTGAGAAACTTTCTCTCTACACACCCCAACTCTGCTTTCAGAGGCCCCCTACTGGGAACTCACTTTTTCCCAATCCCCCCAAATATTTCCAAACTGCAGGCCAGTGGTCTGACCCCCAACTTTTTCTCTTCCTCATGGCTCTCCCATATTTCTCCACCAATCAGGCCAATTGTTAGCGAAGGTCAGGGATTAGAATAGCTTCCATCCCTTTCTGCAATTTTTCATTTCACAATTATTTATCGAGCTTCCTGCATCCTTTATAATATTGTCCCATTACAGAAATCAGAGCAGGACTCAGTATCTGTAAAGATCGGTGTTCAAGGAACGGTTTGATTTTGAACTGGTAAGTAGTTACAACCACCCTCATTCCTGGGTACTTTAAAGATTTATTTATTTATTTATACAAGAACCGTGGTACAGGCCAGATTCACGGGAGGTGAGAGGATTCACCAGAGATAAAGCGGGGAACAGAACAGGCAGACTGACGAAATACACTGCTGAGGGAAGCAACGGGCACGACAGGAGAGGTCCTCTGTGTCATGTGGGACCCTCGCCGGCTGGCCGGGATCGAACCAGCGCTGCAGAGGCTGCAGACAGCTTCACAGCGCTGAGCTCAACCGCCTGCGCCACCTGGGGAGGCCCCATTCGTGGGTACTTCAAAGTTTGTAAGTGCTGCACACACCAGGTCACTAAGTCTCACATATCAGGTCACTTTCAAATCTGCCTCACTCTAAAGGCTGGCAAACAGGGGCCCAGAGAGGAGAAATGACTCGCCCAAGGACAAACCACCACTAAGCTTTAGCTCCAGGACTCAACTCAGGTCTTCCTGCCCCCTGTGCTGCAGTCTTTCTGATATACTCAGTGTTGGGGCCGCTGCTGGGGCCCAGGGAGGGCCAGGACAGTCTCAGGACTAAGGAACATGCCAGGTTCTGTAGCAGGATTAGGTCAGCAATGGCTCCTTCCCACCACTAGACTGGGTGGATGGAACCCATACCATGCCTCAGTTTCCCCACTCACTTAACAGAAGCTGCTCCTGCAGTTACTGAACACGTATTAAGAGGACAAAGTAACCAAAGGCTAGTGGCATCAGAAACTAGAGCAATTAGGGGCAGACATAGAGAGGGACCAGCAGTCTGGGGGAACATCAAGCTGGGTTCCCTCAGCACTGGCGAGCCCTGAGCTGCCTGGTGCTGGACTGGGGAGGGGGGACATGGAGCCGGCAAGAGAGAGGGGGCCCAGTGTGGGTGGGTACGGGGCCAGGCCAGTGGAGAAGGGTCAGTTCAGTCCTGCTCAGCTGACAAAGGGTCCTTGTTGTGGGTAATGGGACTCCCCTGGCAGCTTTATTTGCTGTCAGTGGCTTTTATTAAAGTCTCCTGTTTCAGACCCTCCAACCTCCAGCCATTGTGTGTGTTCCCCCAGGCCCTGCCCCCAGCTCGGGCTAGGCTGACTCTGAGGGCCCCTTGCCCTGTCTCCCCGGCCCCAGGCCCCCCAGCCACCAGCCTCCTACCTCCACCTCCCAGCGAGAGGCTGTGCACTCGAGGGGGAATGTCCCAGCACTCAAACAGACCTTAATCTCCCAACTGTTGTGACTGGTGCCAGGGGCGAGGGCCTCTAGTCAGTCTGGGCAGAATGCACAGAGAGGCACATATATGTGCACCCGTGTGTGTCCTTGAGGGGTGTGCACCCATCTGTTCCTTCCGTTTGTCTCTGCACACAGAAATATGCAGACGCTCTAGGGACATGTGCTATTTAGGATTGAGATGGGGTGGGGGCTACGGTTTGATTCCATAAATAATTAGGGACACCCTCCCTCCCGCCAGGCGCCTGGTCAGTGCTAGGGGTGGGAGGATGGGGAAGTATCTCCCAGCCCAGACTGGGGTATTGGCTCCCTGCTCCCTTCTTTCCTTCCTTTGGCAGGGGAGTGTTAGCCAGGAAGGAAGGGGGCCTGGGAAGCTGGCTCAGCCTTCACCCTGAGGGACTCAGGAGAGCCTCAAATGTACTGAACATCAGCACCCAGATCCAAACCCTTCCTTTGTAACCCAGCACTCCAGCTCTGAACTTAAGCCAGGACCCCAGCGGCTGAGACCTAGGTCACACACTTTCTTCCCAGAGAACACATTTGGGGTTGGGGTGTAGAGAGAGAAACCCAGGCCAGGTTCTTTAGGATGACCCCCTAAAAGGCTAAGTTTGGAGTGAAATGGGTACTTGACCCCAAGAAATCCTTGCTGAGTAGGAGGAAACACATGAGGGGCACAGATGGGAGGACCACAGGCAGGAGCTAGAGGGGCTCAGACCCCACACACGTGTGCACAGAAGAAGGATGAGGTGGTGATTCCTACACGTGTGAGGTCTGAGGTTGGCATAAGGACACAGCCAGCGACTCTCATGTGCAGGTGGGCGCCTGTGTGTGCAAGCATGCACATGGATGCTGGGTCTGTGTCCATAGTTAGGTAGCAGCTCGTGCATCTGTGCCTATCTTTTCTGGGGTGTGAACTCTGGGAGGGCAGCGGCTTGTGGCTTATAGAAGGTGTCAATGTCTGAAGGTGGCTACACGCATTTGGTGTGGAATGTTTGTCCTAAGTGTGTTCGAGGATATGGGAGGGGGATGCAGGGGGTCCACAGTGCTTTCTGGGGTCTTCTGAGCTCCTGGCTCGGCCTGTGCTAGGCCATTTGGGGAGAGCCCGTGCTTTATGGTGCGCGGGTGAAAAATGGAAATGCTAATAAGTAGTCGTTAAGTTGTCTTGCAAAAATGTTAAATGATAAATTGGGTAATGTTATTGTTGAAATGAAATATGTAAAATAAATGAGTTATTTATTTCTAATAAATATTTTGTTTACGATATATTTGTAGGGGTGTTAATTATTTTCCCCCTCAATCGGGGCAACATATAAATTCTAATAAAGCACGGGCCGCGGTGAAGGCAGCGGTGATGGTGGTGGCTCCTTCAGGCCAAGCTGCTGTAGGACCTCGGCCCATGATGGATGCTCCAGACACAAGCGATTGTTCTACTCACGGCTGTTGCAGGATCCCAGATGTGGCCTGTTTTCTCTCTTAAAAAAGAAAAGAAAAAGAAGGGAGAGAGTCAGGGGTGCGGTCTGGGGGAAGACAAATAGGCCAGGGCCTCCACGATGAAGTGACATGGTGTCCCCCAGCCAGGCTCACTCCCTGGTTAGCTGCACAGGCCCTGGGAGTGCACCCCATGCGGGACCCCGACCAGAAATAAATGCACAAGCAAACCAAGTGGTAAAGAAACGGCAAGTCCCCCAGACCCAGCAGCAGCAGGGAGAGCTCACAGCACGTCAGGTGCGAGGTCATTCCCGCGCCCCTCTACCCCAGTCAGGGGCCCTCCTGGAGGGCGGATCTGCTGTTCCCAACACTGATCAAAACTTCCTCCTTCCTCCCTTGAAGGGGAGACCCTCTCCCTCTAGATGCCATCTCTCCTTCTTCTGTGGCTTCTTCTCTGCCCCTTCTTGTGCAGGGCCCTCCCCAGGGTCTCCTGGGAAATCTTGGCTTAGCCCCCTGAGAAGCCATCAGACCAGAAATCCAGCTAGTCTCTGGCTGACCCTGAGGCTGGAGTATGTGTGTAGGGGGTGGGGTGGGGTGGGGTGAGTACATTCCCCTTCAGAACAGGCTGCCTCCCCCCAGGGTGTTATCTCCCCCTGGGTAATAAAACTGCTGAGGCAGGACGGCCTGGTGGGCAGGGACAAGGGCAGGGGCACAGGATGCAGGGCCACTCTGTCCCTGCCGCAGGCACCATCCACCCCTCTCTCTGACCCCCCTCCCCCAACTCCTGGGGCTGATCTGGACTCCACTTTTTCACCACATGGCTCTAGGCTGACCTTCAGCCAGGGACCTCAACTACTTAGCACCCCTTCCTCAGGGTGACAGACCATGGGGGGGGTATACCCCCAAGGGAGCTAGGATTGGTAGATTCAGGAGGTTCTGTGGCTGTCTTAGAGTTGAGTTTGGGGAACCATGTCAAGCAATGCCTCCAAGGCTAGGATCTCCCAACACCTGCTAGAGGGGGGCCTGTACTTCCAGCCACCTACCATTTCCCACTACCCCAACCTAAGTCCTTAGGAGCTGCCTCCCAGAAAGTGGCCCTCTGCACGAACAGGTGTGAGTCACGTCCCCGCGTGTGCAAGTGCCGTGTGTGCAAAAAGCTTTTTGTATGATGACAAGACTTTCAGCATGGGACTCATAAAAAGACAAATAATAGGGAACCCAGCAGAGATGCACTGGCAGGCAGGCCCATTTGGCCCCAGACGAGGATGCTGGACCAGCATGCACAGTTACACGCAGGGCGGTATCGTGCACGTCCAGGTGCAAAGCCCAGCCACACGAGCACAGTCCCACTAACACTAACAACTCACAACTGCTTGTCCAGGGGCGTTTGAGACAGGTCCATGCACAGACAAAAAGGGACATGAAATGTTGCCCAGCTGTGGGGCTTTGATTAGGAGGGAGGGGTAGCAACATTGGGGGGAGGGCGCCCCCTGCTGGAAAGAACAACAGTAGTCCACCCCTCCTCACCCCAGGCCAAAGGATCCAAGCCTGCCCCGCCCTCCTACCAAGGCATGCCCACACCTTCCACTTGTCCACCCAGCTCTGGATAAGCCACCAGTCAGCCTGCATGACTCTGGGTTCTTTTCAAAACGTGCTAAATCTTTGATCATCATTTGTTTAAACTGTATAAATAATCCACCCGGTTTTAATAGGATTTTTCTATGAATCGGCAACAAAGCATGAAATGTGATATTTTCACCATGAGTAGTTGGGAAATTAGTCACCTCTGTCCATGCCTCTCTGCTGGCTGGAGACCCCATTCTGTCTGGTCTCTTTCTCCCCCCCACCTAGGCCCTTCAACTGCTACCACCTCAGTTCCAGCCTTTGGGGGTGGGGGGGCTCCAGGGGGAGAATTCTGCGGTGTCACTCTGGACATACTGGTCATCTCCAGGTCTGAGCGCCAAGTCCCTGCTTCCCAGACTCCTCGGCTGAGGCAGAGCATCTCGAATTCTCTCAGTTCTACTGTGGGCTCCAGTACACCCCACAGTACAGTACTGTGGGGTGGGGTTTCAGGATGGATGGTGGGTTTAGGGAGTTATATGGGGAAGAGTGGTGGGATGAGGCAGAGGTTTGGGGCCATTCACCATTCCCCTCTCTCCCCACTCCCCAGGGTGCTCCACACCCTCATGTGTGCTCCAGGAAGCTGGATTTCTCTCCTGAGGGTCCCACCCAGTCTGGGAACAGCAGAGTCTGAGTGTGAGAGAGAAGGCACTCTTGGTGACAAGGTCAGAGCCAGGGAAACAGGAGATGGGGCATCAGAGATGAGCTTCAGGTTGGGACCAGATAGGAGTCAGGCGTGGGGAAATCTGAGATGGGCCCAGGGCCAAGAACTATATGGACGAGGCAGGGAGAGTAGAGAGTACCTAAATATACCAGCGGGACTTTTCATTTTTTTTTACCTAGGGGAAAAAATGGTTTGGTGCATGGGAAGGAACAATGTAAATTTGAAACCTACAGATAAGAGTCAGCTTTATCTCTCCACAAAAGCAACTTTCAATCCCACTTCCACATGACCCCTGAGCCTGGCCCCAGGCCCCATCCAGCAACCCCAAGCTGCCCTCTTCTGCCTTGGTGCCTTGTTGGAAAAAGGCAGCATCCACACTGGTGACCGAGGGCCCCCAGAGCAGGTGGCCTGAACCACCCGGCCAAGGCCTGGGCCCTCCCAGGTCTCAGGCAGAAGCGGGGGCTCAGTCTTCAGAGCTGAGCATGGCTGGGAGGGAGGAGGATGTGGGGTCCTCTCCTGCACCACAGTCCACGTGCCCCAAGCTGAGAAAGCTCCCTTCCTTTCTGCCCCCTGCCCCTGGCCCGAGATGAATAAAACTCAGGGGGTGGGGGGCGCTATTCATGGAACCAGAGAATGTGTGAGGCGCCCAGCAGCCCCCTCTCATTAGGGGACCCCCGTCAGGTGGCGCTCATTAACTTCAAGTTGTCTCTTGTTTTAAAACTCCGGTGAGGGGGGTGGGGTGGAGGGGCACATTGTCTGGCTGCTGCCCCAGAGAGATTAGGCTCCCAGGGGGAGGGGGCAGGCAAAGGTCCTTTAATTAGTTACTTTCAAAGGTTCCCTGTCCCCTTTCTCTCGGTCCCCCTCCTGCCCCCAACTGGGCCCAGCTTCGAGGGGGCGGTCTTTTCTGCTTGGCAGAGCTGCCTGGTCAGTCAGCTTAAACCCTCAGTCTTTGTTCCCGCCTGAACAATGGGCCAGTGCGTTGGCCACAAGGCCTCGGAGCAGGGCCTTCTTCTGCAAGCTTGGAGCCAACTAAGAGGCTGTACCCGGCATCAGGGTGTATGTATGTGGAGCCCCAGACAGGGCCCTAGCCACCATGAACCCTTTCTGGGCTGAGAGGAAGAGGACACACACACACAAACACACTCACACTCACACGCATATCCCAGACCCAGTCTGGCCTAGCAGAGGAAAAGGAGAGGCAAACGTCGGTCAGGATCTCCTTCACATAAAACATGTCTAGGGGGAACACCTGGAACCAAGCTCAAAGGTGGGGGTCCTCTTCCCTTCTGGATGACCTCGAGAGCACGCTTTTACAACCACTCAGATCCGAGTCCTAAGCTTGGCTCTGCTGCTCATTAGCAAGTAATCTCTCAAAGCCTCAATGCCCCTTATCCTTAAAATGGGAGAATGAATGCCTGCCTCTCAGGTGGTGAGGATTAAATTACTTAAGTGTTTCAAAGTGCCTAGTACAGTACCTGGAGCATGATACGCCCTCACCACAGTTCTTTGTGCAGCTTGTTCCCACTGCCAGAGCCTGACCCCAGGCCCTGCACCACCAGCTTGCAGGCACCTCTACCCTTTTACTTCAGGGGATCTGATGGCTGATTTGGGCTAAACTCCTCAACCACAAAGTGCTGGGATTCACATGTGGAGGACACACTTGGAAATCGGTGAGTGTGTGGACAGGAAGGAGGATCCCAAGTTGGGGGTGATGGGGCTGTTGGGGGGGGGAGGCCAAGAAGCCATCAGACAGAAAGAGATAAGAGGAACTTGGGGAGGAGAGGAAGCCACCCCTGGGGGGATGGGGGTCTCAGCAGATCCAGAGTTAGCGGAGGGGGGGGGGAAATCTCAGGATGGGTTGAGAGGCTGAGTTGCAGGAAAGGACGGTGATTTGCCTGGGTCAGCAGATTAATGGCACTAACGAAGTTTTCAAGAGTGTGGTGAGTTGGGGGCCAGGGGCGTCCATGTGGAAAGGCACATGACTGGGGATTGATCAGACTGAAGATGAAACAGAGAATGCTTCCCAGGCAGCAGAGGTAGGAAACGCCAAAACTAATTACTCCCCAACCTCTCTGGCCTCCAGATCCCTCCCCCAGGGAGGCGGGAAGGGGCTGTGACCTCTCTCTGTGGGTGCCGAACTACGGGCACACACAGACAGGCCCTCACATGAGCAGGGGTGTGCATGACGGAGGTCTGCACGTGGGAGTGAGCACCCAGGATGTGATTACGTCACATATGGTGGTCTGTGTGCTCCCCCTTGTGTGGGGTCACTTGGTTTCCCACAGATGTACTCACATTCCACCTGCGTGTTCCCACATGCCAAGCACATGTGTCACCAGGAGGAATTAGGGGCCCATGGGTGGCAGCAGAAGTGGAGGGGGTGGTGAGGATCGTGTTACACAACTTTGGCCTTGAGGTGCGCCTCCACAAATTTGCTAGTTTGGGTTTAAGCCCCATTTCCAGTCAGAGGTGACCCTGGATTACCATTTAGGTGGCCAGGTCCCCATGTAGATAGTTGACAACTTATCGGCCTATGGTTATGGAGGTGTACCCCAATGGAAGGAAAGCCACCTTTTCGGAAGTCATCAATTATAGACAGATTCCTTTTAACAGCCCCTGGTGTTTGTTGAATGAATTCGTGTGGCAGATTGGGCAGTCCTCTCCAGCTTGAAGAATTCACAAAGGATATCAAAGAACTAGATCAAAGGGCAAGAAAACATCTCTTATAGGGCCTAGAGAAGCCCTAGTTAAAAATCAACA